GGTATGTATTGCTTGAATGACAGTCTTCCTTTGAACAGAATCAAAGAAGGGATAAAAATACATTGAATTTCTGTTTCAGATACACACACATTCCTAATCTTGTATAACCTGCCGTTTCTGTCAGGCCTGGTTTTGTCTGAGAAGTGAAGCGTACATAATAGTAGCACAAATCGATTCGCTCGCATTATATCACTGAAACCTGGGGTTGCAATCAGGCGGTCTGTTGACCAGTATGATTTGATACTGTGCTTATACACATGTGGCATAAGCATTATTGTGGCCAAGAAAAGATACATTTCAGCCGCTGATGTAGGCGTGATTTTGGTGAAAGTATTGAGTTTGCCATGGTGTACTCGAAGTATCTGTTGCTTTCCCTGACAATAATTTCCATCAGGGGTTCGTCAAAGAATAACTCGTAACATTCTAGTTCATTGGCATTGTTCCCAAGTGTACAAGATGGCCGTATTCCACTTTAACTTTCATCAAAGTGATGGGGTTTGGGAACAAAATTGTCAGCTTCCTGCCAATCCCAGGTGCAATTTGCTGGTGAGTACTGGATATTAACCCTTTGAGGGTCGACAGGCCCTCTCCGAAACTCGTTCTCAGGGTCGGCCAAATTTAAAAAAAAAAAAAATTATTTTCTCTTATGAAAAGATAGAGAATCTTTTCCCGATCATAACGACACCAAAAGTTTGAAATTTGATAGAAAACTTACGGAATTATGCTCTCGCAAAGTTAGCGGTCTCGGCGATGTTTACGGATCGGCGATTTTGCCCACTTTGAGCCCCATTTTCGGCCAATTTCACTGTACTAGTCGACAAAAAACATGAATATTTCGCTAGAACTCCATTTTTTCTATCGAATGGGTGCAAGAAACCACCCATTTATGAAATTCAACTATCCAGTACAGTGGTCAGAATTTAGCAATTTTGCCAATTTCACACAAATTTCAAAAGATGCCAATTTCGGAATAGGGTCCAGAATAAACAAGAAAGACATTCCTGGCACTAAAATGACATTTCCTCTAGTCATTAGTCACGTCTCAAGGCCCCTCTTATATTCTTTTGCTTTCCACTTTGAATTTTTTATTCTCACAAAAAATATAAGATTTACTGTTATGCAGACTACTGCATTAGTGTAAAAAATGGTATAAATATATTGGTGCACTTGTGAAAGAATATTAGACTCACCAGTTGACGTGTATTGCACGCTTGGCACGATTTGTTTACTTTTGAAGTTTGGTAAAAATCGAACATTTCTGCTACTTTGAGCTCAATTTCAAGGCACCTTTCATTGTAAAACCAGTCAAAATCATCTCAATTTCAGTAATATGTCTTCCATTCTATAAAATGAGACCAAGAAAACTAGAATACAACAATAAATACTATACGAAAATACACTGCAAAGTCGCTGATTTATTAAAAAAAAATGGAAAAAGTTTTTTTTTTTCTCATTATGCACCGTGTGCTGCAGGATTTTTTTTAGACTGTGCATACTGACCACATAGACCCATTCTTTCATATGAAGGCCTACCAGCTTTCTCCCACTAGATTTGAGGTCGCTAGAATTTATGAGTACTAGTACGTCAAAAACCCCTACGCGTAAGACGTACTAGTACGACGAAAACCCTCAAAGGGTTAACAGGTGGTTGTGGTTGTGGAGGCTGGTGTGGTGGGTGGGTGGGGGATGGTGGCCTTTGTTGTAGTTCAGCTGAGGCAGCAGTGTGGGTGGCAGCATGGCCCACTGCTGGTGCCTCACGGCTGGCACCACCACTACCACCACCATGTACATTTTCCATCCCAATTGCAACACTTATCATCTTCGTTTTCATTGTTTGTTTCTGTCGCACAGCCATGGGATGTACTCCGAGATGTACTCCTTCCCCGTGGAATAGCATATGGCACACTACCAGAGCGCATATACCATCGTATATACTGACGCTTCACTATCGCTACTGGAACTGTTTTCAAGAGCTTGTAGTTCATATTCACTATCACTTTCATCATTGCTCACAGCTGAGTCCTGGCTATGGGAAAATAGGAGTTTCCTCTTTTGTTCCGGTACAACCGAACATGAACAAGATGGCCCAGCACCAGAGGTGGAAGGTTGAGGGTCATCTGGATTTTCTTCACCATTACTGGTATTATGGTCATTAGTTTTGGTCACAACCTCGTCAAAACCTTGAAACTCCTCTTCACTGGCAATTCCATCTGTATTAGAACTGTCACTGGGGAACAAAAGTGTCCCAATTCGCCAAGGAGTGAGGAGTTTTTTACCACGAGGCATGGTGAACAAGGTGTACTAAAATGGCGTTCCCACAATGCACCACTGGGTCCTCGATTTTTTTCCTACCATGCACACTGACCACGCAGACCCATTCTCTCACATCTAGGCCTACCAGCCTTTTCCCCGCTAGATTTGAAGGCGCTAGAATTTATGCGTACTAGTATGTCAACCCTGGCGCGTAAGCCATACTAGTATGTACATCAGAAACCCTGAAAGAGTTAAGAGAGTTGTGAAACTATACATTATCTATTTACAGTACCAAAATTCCCATGTTAATCCCTTTTATAAGACTGTTCTTGTAGTTAAGCATAAGTAAATAATATTATTATTATTATTATATTTGGCCATACTCGTCTTACTCATGGATATCTCATGGAGAGGCGCCCTGCTCCTCTCTGTGAGAATTGCCAAGCTCCATTATCAGTCAGCCACATTCTGTTGGACTGCCCACTTTATCAACGAGCACGCAGAATTTACCTCCGTCGTCGTCTTCGCTCCGCTGCTCTCTCTTTACCTTCCCTTCTCGCTGATGGACCCACCTTTCATCCGGACTCTCTCATTGACTTTTTGACAACAACTGACTTGCTTCACAAATTCTGATACCTTCAGCCCTTTCTACTTCAATCTCTTGCTACCCTCTACCCCCGTACTATCCCCTGCCCCGCTGTTTTCTGTAACCTGCTGATCATCCCTCCTCCCTTCTGCCATCCAATACCCTCGCTTCCTTCTCTACTCTGCAGCGCTGTATAGCCCTTGTGGCTTAGCACTTCTTTTTTTGATTATAATAATAATATTATTATATTATTTTCTCAGTTTGTTGGGTTATCTTGTTCAAACTTGGGCAGCGTATGATGGAAACATACTTCTTAACGTACACCAAAAATGAAAGAAATCAGACCATAAATAGTGGACTTCTCAGCCATTAGCGGCCGCTTAGCGGTATATTTTTGTATGTTTTTATGGTTATATTCTCATTTTTTCGGTCTCATTTGATAGAATGAAAGATATATTACAGAAATAGATATGATTTTGATTGGTTTCATGATGAAAAGTACCTTGAAATTGCGCTCACAGTAGCGAAAATGTTCTATTCTTTAGCGAATCTCAAGAGTAAACAAATACCGTCCAATACCTGTCCGCCTGCCAGTCTAAATTCCAGTACGGAGTCAAGAATGGATTGACATTATTTATACAATTATTACAATAATGCAGTAGTCTGCATAACAGTAAATCTTCTAAATTTTTTTTTTTTTTTTTTAATAAAAATTCCAAATGGTAAGCAAGAGTAATATAAGAGGGGCCTGCAGCCGTGACTAATGAACAGAGAAAATGTTATTTTAGTGCCAGGAATGTCTGCATTGTTTATTCTTGACCCTATTTTGAAATTGGAATCTGTTGAAATTTGTGTGAAATCGGCCAAATTGCCAATTTCTTACCACTTTATTGGGTAGTTGAAATAAGTGAATGGGCGGTTTCTCGTACTCAGTTGACAGACTAGAAGTAAATAAGTTTATCAGGTATACACAAATACAGTTACATAGATTATCATACATAGCAGTGTATGTATAGAGAACCTAGGATAACCCAGAAAAGTCAAAGTGACTTATTTCCAGTACCTGGCTTGGGCTTGCCATATATGATTTTTGGTAAATATTTTATTTTCTCAGTTGTTTGTTGGGCTATCTCATTGAAACTTGGGCAATGTATGATGGAAAGATGCTCCTTAACATACAACAAAAATAAAAAAGACGGACGATAAATAACGGAGTTCACTTCTCAGCCATTAGCCGCCTCTTTGCAGTATATTTTCGTATGGTTTTTATGGTTGTATTCTCATTTTTTGGACTAATTTGATAGAATGGAAGATATATTACAGAAATAGACATGATTTTGATTGATTTCATGACGAAAAGTACCTTGAAATTGAGCTCAAAGTAGCGGAAATGTTCGGTTTTTGTCGATTTCAATGAACTGTGTAAGTCAAGTTGGTTAATTTTATTAAGTGTATTCTAACCTAACCACTCTGTAATTCGGCAAACTCAGTAATCTGGCACACTACAGGTCCCAATGATGCTGGATTTGTGATGGAGGACCTGTACAATAATACATTAGTATATACTGCAGTTAATTTTTATGCAGTTATAATTTAATATTGCATCTTTACATTTGTTTGCATTTCTCTCAGCTGCAAATGGTGCCTTGTACAATCTGTAAATGTTTGTAGATATGTGTGAGTTTTGATAAATTTGTGTATATTTTATGGTAGTAAATGATAAAATAGACTGGTATCTACATATATTTTATGCATTCATTACATACCTAACTTTTTCTTAATTATTTTATACTTCTAGGCTACATGATTCATCTGCGAGTTTTTTCAAGTTGTTACAAATCTTCAAAAAATTTTCCAGTATATTTATTGAAAAAAATCTGTGTACAAGTGTACCTGCACACTTGAAACCTGTGTTGTTCAAGGGTCAACTGTATATATGAATGTTTTATATCAGGGCTTGGACTTGACAAGTTGTCAGGATCTGTTGAAAACATCTAAATTATTACAACTGGGTCACCAGCTGATGCTTCGGTTTCAGAGTTCAGTAAATGTTGAGTAACTGTTATATACTAAGTTTATTAGTTTACATTATCATTTAAATATTGAGGTATCTATTTTATTGTAGATAGATCTACATTATTGTTTTTCTCTCCCAATACAGAGTACTGAAAATGATTTTTTTCAAAGTTATTATAAAGATCCAGATATTGCACCTAAAACTTCCAATGGTTCCAAGTATGAAGTTGGCTATGTGAAGACCATTCCAGAGCAATTTCCTTGTGACCAAACTATAGTCTTGGTAAGTGGAATACCATCTTATGTTTGTGACTGCAAGTTAGAGTATCTAGAAAATAAATAATTGCACTTTAGTTATAATAGAGAATTGGTGTGTGTGTTAGGTTAGTTTGGGGACTTGATATACTGACCAGTTTTATGCAAACTACACATTACAGTATCTCAAGAATGCTTCTTGACCATGAGATAAAATTTTTGTGCCATGCTACTGCAGCTGTTACAGTATATAGGAATTGTTACATTAACACATTGCAATGATTTTTGCTAACATGAATGAAATCTGATATTAGATCAGAGGGAGGAGTTTGGAGGAAGTAAATGTGTTCATATATTTGGAAGCGAGCCTGTTGGCAGATGGTTCTGTAAGAAACTGAAGTGAGCCATAAAATAGATGAGGGGGAGAAAAGGTGGGTGGTGTGTTGAGACAAAGCAATATCCATGGAGGAAGAAACAGGAATGTACTAGAATATAGTGGTACCAACACTGTTATATTGGTGTGAAGCACGAATTTTAGACATTGTAGTGAAGAAGCCAGAAGTAGTGGAGATGTATTTGAGGGTGGTGTGTGGCTTGAATATTATGCAGAAAATTAGAAGCAGGGAGAGTAGAAGGTGTGGGGTTACTAAAAGTATAATTAAGGGTGGCTGAGGAGGTGTTGTTGAGGGGTTTGGGCATTTAGAGAAGATGGAACTGAATAGGATGTCCCAGATTTTCGTTTGGCCGACTTCATGGGACTGAAAAATTACCTGGGTAGGCAAAATTGGGATGTTCTGACTATGGGTCAGGTAGGTGATCTTGGTTGCCAATATGACGTTTTTCAGAGCATAGTTCTAGCTGCCCAGACAACTTTTGTTCCAAGTAGGGAAATTAGATCTAACAAAAATGATCCCAAATGGATGAACAATAGATTAAAACATCTCATTGGTCAAAAGAGAGGCATATATTGGCATATCAAAAGAGGGGATGGGCAGTTAAGAAATCAATTTATTCAATTAAAAAAGAGAGAAATAAAGAAAATAAGAAAAGCAAAAAGGGATTATGAGGCTAAGGTCACAAGGGATTCAAAGACTAACCCAAAAGGGTTCTTTCAGGTATACAGAAGTAAGTTTAGGGACAAGGTTGGCCCACTTAAGAGTAACTCTGGTCAGATCACTGACAGTGATAAGGATATATATGAAATTCTCAATACCTACTTCCTCTCAGTTTTCACCCAGGAAAATACTAGCGATATTCCTGAAATAATAGATTATGTAGAACAGGATGATGATAAACTATGCACGATTGTGGTAACTAGTGACATGGTCCTCAGACAAATAGAGAAACTAAAACCTAACAAATCCCCTGGTCCTGATGAACTGTTTGCAAGGGTGCTAAAGGAATGTAAAAAGGAACTTAGCATACCTTTGGCTAATCTTTTTAACATATCACTACAAACTGGCATAGTGCCTGATAAGTGGAAAATGGCAAATGTAATAACTATTTACAAGGCAGGTGACAGGTCCTTGGCTTCGAACTATAGACCAATAAGCCTTACCTTCATAGTGGGAAAATTTATGGAATCAATAATTGCCAAGCAATTCATAGCCATCTTGATAGGCACAGATTGATTAATGAATCTCAACATGGTTTTACAAAGGGGCGTTCCTGTCTTATGAATTTACTAACTTTTTTCACTAAGGTGTTTGAAGAGGTAGATCATGGTAATGAATATGATATTGTGTATATGGACTTCAGTAAGGCTTTCAATAGAGTTCCACACCAGAGGCTATTGAGGAAACTTAAGGCACACGGAATAGGAGGAGAAATTTTTTCCTGGGTAGAGGCATGGCTGACAAATAACAGCAGAGAGTTTGCATAAATGGGGAGAAATAAGAATGGGAGAACGTCACAAGCGGTGTTCCTCAGGGGTCAGTGTTGGGCCCGTTGTTGTTCACAATTTACATAAACGACATAGATGAGGGAATAAATAGTGACATAGCAAATTTGCTGATGACACCAAAATAGGCCGTCCAATCCATTCTAATGAGGACACTAGAGCGCTCCAGGATGATCTGAATAGACTGATGCAATGGCCGGAGAAGTGGCAGATGCAGTTTATTATTGACAAATGCAAAGTTCTAAATGTTGGACAGGTAAATAACCATGCCACATATAAACTAAATATGTAGATCTTAATACTACTGATTGCGAAAAGAATTTAGGAGTTCTGGTTAGCAGTAATCTAAAACCTAGACAACAGTGCATTAGTGTTTGCAATAAAGCTAACAGAATTCTTGGCTTCACATTCAGAAGTATAAATAATAGAAGTCCTCAGGTTGTTCTTCAACTCTATATATCCTTGGTTAGGCCTCATTTAGACTTTGCTGTTCAGTTCTGGTCACCATATTACAGAATGGATATAAATGCTCTGGAAAACATACAGAGGAGGATGACAAAGATGATCCCATGTATCAGAAATCTTCCCTATGAGGATAGACTGAGGGCCCTGAATCTGCACTCTCTCGAAAGGCGTAGAATTAGGGGGGATATGATCGAGGTGTATAAATGGAAAACAGGAATAAATAAAGGGGATGTAAATAGCGTGCTGAAAATTTCCAGCCAAGACAGGACTCGCAGCAATGGTTTCAAGTTGGAAAAATTCAGATTCAGGAAGGATATAGGAAAGCACTGGTTTGGTAATAGAGTTGTGGATGAGTGGAACAAACTCCCGATTACAGTTATTCAGGCTAAAACGTTGTGTAGTTTTAAAAATAGTTTAGATAAATACATGGGTGGGTGTGAGTTGGACCTGACTAGCTTGTGCTGCTGGGTCTGGTGCCGTGCTCCTTCCTTGATTGTAAGTGACCAGACTGGGTGGGTCATTGGGCTAATCTGGGGGGGGGGGGAGTCATTGGGTTAATCCTAGGGAGGGGGACATGGACCTGCTCTGCATGAGTCAGTAGGCCTGTTGCAGTGTTCCTTCTTTCTTATGTTCTTATGTTCTGCAGTGGGGGAAAGGACATGTTGGAGGGATGTGTAAAAGATAATTTGGTGCTAGGGGCTTGAACATACAAGCCTGTGTAAGCTTGTAAGGTCTGATTGAATAGAGGCAAGTGGTTTTTATGACGACATACCATTAGAGAGTGAGAAAAGTAACATTGGTGAAGGGAACCAGGGACACCAGTTAGCCTGACTTGAGTCCTGGAGGTGGGAGGATGTTGCTCTTTCGAGGTCCATCTGCACTGTAATGCCACCACGCTTCTGGCAAGACAAAAATTGAAAGAAGGATGGTGAATGTTTTTTTCTCATTTTTGATCACACTACTGCCTTGGGATATAGCTGGAGTGTTTAAAATAAATAAATAATAGTAATACACTGAGATTTCCATTAGATAACAATATCACTGTATGATGAGCTTAGTTGCCCTCAGTGACTAATGAGAAATGAAAATCTTTATTCCTTAGGAACATACATAGAAGTTAAAAATGGGATTTGGAATGTATTTGGTTGTAGTTTTGATACAAATAAAAGTTGATGCAATTGGGTTTGAAAGAAATCATTTTATAATGCAAAACATTTCAGGCAGACTAATCTGCTCATGAAAGGTGATCATTTTATGTTAAATCATCATTATTGCTGCATATAAGATATGATTTTCGCAGGTTTTGCTAGACTTCCATTTTTTTTAAGTTGCCTAGGTCATCCTTCATGAATAATGCAAATTTAATTAGGGTAAAGAAAATGGAGATGGGGGGGGGGGGGTAGAGGTAGTAGTAGTATTAACCCTTTCACAGTCAAGACCCCTAATCTCAAACTTGCTCTTAGGGTCAAATAATTTTCAGAAAAAAAAAAAATTTAAGAAATGGTAGAGAATCTTTTTCTGAAGGTAATGAAACAAAAAGTACAAAATTTGATGGAAAAACTTATGGAATTATGGTCTCACAAAGTTAGCAGTCTCGGTGATATTAGTGCATTGGCGATTTTGCCCACTTTGAGCCCTATTTTTGGCCAATTCCATTATTCCAGCTAACGAAACTCATAGCTATTTTGCTAGTATTCCTTCTATTCTATTTACCTATTTCAATGACCCAGTAGAGTGATTAGAAATTGGTAATGTGGCCAGTTTCATGCAAAATTCCAAAATTGCCAATTTAAAAATAGGGTCCAGAATAAACAATATTAAGACATTCCTGGCATTAAAAAAAAACATTTCCTCTGTTCCTTAGTCACTTCTCCAGACCTATCTTATATTATAAGAACATAAGAAAGAAGGAACACTGCAACAGGCCTACTGACCCATGCGAAGCAGGTCCATTTCCCCCCCCTGGATTAGACCAATGTCCCCCCCCCCGGATTAGACCAATGACCCACCCAGTCTGATCATCTCCACTCAAGGATGGAGCACTGCACCAGACCCAGCAGCACAAGCTAGTCAGGTCCAACTCACACCCACCCACACCCACTCATGTATTTATCTAACCTATTTTTAAAACTACACAACATTTTAACCTGAATAACTGTAATTGGGAGTTTGCTCCACTCATCCACAACTCTATTACCAAACCAGTGCTTTCCTATATCCTTCCTGAATCTGAATTTTTCCAACTTCAAACCATTGCTGCGAGTCCTGTCTTGGCTGGAAATTTTCAGCACGCTATTTACATCCCTTTATTTATTCCTGTTTTCCATTTATACACCTCGATCATATCCCTCCTAATTCTACGCCTTTCGAGATTTTGCAGATTCAGGGCCCTCAGTCTATCCTCGTAGGGAAGATTTCTGATACATGGGATCATCTTTGTCATCCTCCTCTGTACGTTTTCCAGAGCATTTATATCCATTCTGTAATACGGTGACCAGAACTGAGCAGCATAGTCTAAATGAGGCCTAACCAAGGAAATATAGAGTTGAAGAACAACCTGAGGACTTCTATTATTTATACTTCTAGATATGAAGCCAAGAATTCTGTTAGCTTTATTGCGAACATTAATGCACTGTTGTCTTGGTTTTAAATTACTGCTAACC